TTTAAAAGCTTCCTCTTCCTGTGATACAGACTACGCCTGAGGACACTGGCATGATACAGCGTCCACTACAATCAGTGCTTCAGCTGACATTGGATCTAGTCTTTGAACAGCAGAACAATAATATTGTACCTGAAAGATATAAAAGTCATTTTAGAGAAGGGAAGTAGATATGCTTGAAGTACCCATCGAAGAACATACAGAATTAGGGGTGAAAAAAACTTGCAGGCTTGCCTAGACAAACCCTTCTAAATGCCATGAAATCATTTGGCCATAGAATCTAAACAGGGCCTTAGATTTATCTGGTTTTTAAGCATCATTATCAACTCAGTATGTACAATGGAAAATGGAGAATCTGATCCTTCACATTATTACTTTAGTATAAATCAAGTGACTGTAGCAGAATTAGCCCCATGTAAGGCTGGACTTGTGCAGTGCAGAAATTGGTCCTCTCAGAAGCAGCCTTCAGCATTATTGCTGAATTATTGCTTCATTGCTTCATTATTGTATTATTGCTTCAATGGCTGAGAAGGAGGAGAAGTATCTTGCCATTTATTTAATCTGTTTTGTTTACTATTTGTCATAAACACTAAAAGCATTTTTTTTTCCTGCTAATTGTTATTTTTCACTTTGCAAAACTTCTGTGTTAATTTGGCAAAAAAAAAGATATTTTAAAAAATTCAACTTCTGCCAGTGAAAATACAGTTCCTTATCACATGAAAAAAATCTTCACATAGCAGCTTTACTACTCTGAACATTGTCAGAATAAAATTATCGTCAAAACTATATATATTATCAACAACTGCAGATGATTATATCTTGAAAGATATGAAAAAATCTTGTGTACTTTTATGTTATATTTCTGTTTATTCGTTCTCACAGTTTGGTCATTTTTAATAAAGAAAATGCACCACTCAACTTCAAAGTTTTAGCCATTGTGCCTCATTCTTTGAATTACGATGTTTAGATTACGAACAGATCAAGAGCTACAAAAGCATTTCAAGTATAACTAAAGAAGATAAAGGAACATTTATATAGGTTTAATATTTTGGGAAAAAAGGAAACAATCAAGTTAATCTCCATTATTTTACAAAATCTAACTTTGTACCACCTTGAAAACTGAGTCTTCTCATAAAGTTTTAGAAACCTGGAAATAGGGAACAATTGTCAGACCTCATATAAAAATGGCAACTTGTTTCTAACTTCTTCCCTGATGAGAGATTGCTGGAACAAGCATTTGCTCCTTTTTAAGTGTCTGAAGAGCACTTTTGTAGCTATAACGTGCCCTCCTTTGGTAGCTAGACCCTTTACTAGGGAACCAAAGATGATTTCAGAAGTGTTCTGAACATAGGGATTTAAACATTCACTTTGTCGCGCTGCATTCATACTTCTAACATTTTCAAGACTGAGCATAGCAATGCTGCTGTGGATTGAGGTTGTGTTCAACCTACAAAAACGGCCTACTTTGCTAGGTGGTCTACATCTCACCTATAATACTATGTCACTTAAAGCCTACTAATGCAAAGCCTAGCATGATTTATTGTTATTTAACTTTATAAAGTAACTGTGTGGGTGGGCGTGCAGTTTATAGAGCATTGCCCTCTACCATAAAAAGTAGTTTGTAACAGGGAAAGAAAAAAATAGTAGTCAAATGGTTGTAAACACTTGCTTAAAAAGTAAATATTTACTAACTATATATTTTTAATTTTATTTCTTTGTTCTTGTTTTTAAATGATCTGGAACATTAGAACTCTTTTTTTGCTTTCAATCTCTTTTTAATGGAAAAAGAATGTTAAAATTTTTTTCAGTTCCTTCTAGCTTTTTTTTTTAATCACCCCAAAGAGTTACAGACTTCCTCGTTTCCTCTACCCATTTAACAGATGATTGCAATGGTGACTGACATCTAACAGAAAAAAGAAAGGCAGTCTAGCAACCACACACCTTCTCCTCACTCCCCTCTAGCTCCACACAATTGCTTTTGATACCCATAATAAAACCAGCTATCAATAGCAGACAGTCAGCTTAGTCTTCTTTCCTCTCTTCAAATAAAGATTGCATCTCCCAACTCTGATACATAAAGTGCCACAGCTCCCTGATTTCCAGGAGGAAGCAGGAAGTTTCCTTTCCTCCATTTCCTCCTAACAGCTTGTTTTTCACTTGAAAAGCAAGCTGGTGGCTCTGATTAACTGTGCTTCCCATGGCCCTCTTACTGGTCTTTCTGCATTCCCCCTTAACATGCATTTAAACTCACATTTTTTCTCATTTCATTTCCCCACATCCATTCATCTTACCTGTTGTGTTTTGTTTTTTGGGTTTTTTTTGCATTAAATCCAGAGCTGTTCTACTTGGCCACTAATCCAGAATCAAAAAAACCCTCATCAGGTTAATTAGAGCATGGCCATACAGTACAGCCCCAGCCACCACAACTTTCCCTCATGCTCAGCTAGACTAATACAGTCAGGGTATGACCTTGCTATTTATTCCATAGAAATGGCTTCCCACTCTTCTTATAAAGGATGTCTTATAAAAGACAAATTCAAACCACCACATAAACCAGTCTGGACCACACCATTTCTTCCCTCTGGGTTAGACCTGCAAATCCAATGACTATGTACAAGAAACAAGTCTTGTTTCATTTTTCTTACCCTCCTTTTCTCTTTCTATCATACATCATATAATATACCAAAACAAACAGGTCTTGCTTTCTACTTTGGGTAATGCCGATGTGGTAGGGAACCCAGAGAGTTGCTGACAGTGTCTATCAGACCTGCAGCACAGCTGAAGACGTAGGTTGAATCACCTTTTTCTCAAACACGGCTCTTCTTTAAACAACCCCTTGCCCAAACTTGGATACATAATTGTTCTTGTGGAAGCATAAATTCGGTATTAGTTTTTGACACTTTTAACAGACGCTTCACAAAAAGCTTGGCAAAATGCTTATTTCTAAGTCCTGGTTAATGGCCAGTACTTGAGCTTTGGAGTAATGCTTTAGTGTTAGAGCCATCTAGTGGGAGAAGAGACAGGGACAAAGAAGGCAAGACAGGTTCTGCATCCAGATTTTTCATCCTATTCAGCTTTCTGGTGTGATCTCCAGACACCAAGGCCAGTGAAACAGTGATCTGCCATGCCAGTATTGCAAACAAAAGAAAACACGACTTTGAGGGGTGTTTTAGAAAAAGAGAGATCATGCAAGGAGTCTGTGAAATTTATACAGCTGTTAAGGCTCCCAGTTATCAGAAAGGAGCCTGTGTCTATACCAGGAGAACCCAAATAGCTAAGGTAGGGGAGACAGTTTCAAGGATAGGAAGCATAGATTCTGGTGTGATTTTATGGATGCAAGTCTCCTTGGGTACTGTCTGCTCCAGTTTGTTTGTTCATACTGATCCTATGACCTCCACATGGGAAATTAAGTAGTAAAGTAAAAGAAAGGCTTGGACAAGCCTCTCCCATTTGCCTTGGGCTATGCCAATACTGCTGTAAGATCAATGCTTCTGGTTGAATTTTAGTTAGTAAATGATTTCTTGAAAAGTCTTAGAAGATCATGCTAATATCTAGTCAGTGTTCACATGCATGTGTGCAACAAAATGAATCCCAGGCCTTGGAGAATTCTTAAGTCCATTTGGTTTCTGGTGCCAGAATTTGACAATAACAAACACTCTTTGAAGGAGGAGACAGTCCTGCAGCTTGCAGTGCTTCAGTACCTTACAACAATAGAAAGATTTAGGACATAAGCTAGGTACCAAGATATTATGATATCCCCTTAAAGTTTAAAAAAGAAAATAATCTGTAGTTGTGTTTTACTCATTTAAAAGGGAAATAATGCTTTCCTTCCTCCTATCAGGCTGTTAAGAAAAAGCAATTAAGCTTTGCGCAGAGGTAAAAGACAGAGGCTAAATAAGAGGCAAGACAGGTGTTTTGGACAAACACAACTGATTAATGGTCTATCTCATGCTAGAGTTCAGAGAATCAGTGCAAGGGCATTTTTCAAACAATGTTTTCCTGTCTCTAGGAGCAGGACTGCAGTGTGCTGCCTGAATAGTGCCTGAAGTAGATTCAGTTGGCATACTTGCTCAGACAAATAGACATATGGACTACTCATTTGAAGAAGGATCAACTTAAGCCTGCTAGTTATATATAGAAAAATGAACAATCTTTTAAATCATATTTTGCCAATTAGCCAAGACTAGTGTGTCAGTGTAAATTCAGGCTGCATTCCAGTGTCGCTCTCCAGTCCCATCATAATCCTATTAATCTACTTTAATACATCATAGTTTGAAAGTTTACTTCAAATGCTCAGGTGAGCAGCATGAAGAGAGAAGCAGGTCAAATGCTACCAATCAATTACTGAAAATTCCCCATTACTATGCAACATAGGACCTGTATTTGCAACCAAGTTTGCATGTTTTAATGTTAAGCATCTACATCTTAGAAGAAATGCTGCCAGTTTACAATACATAAGCTAGTGCTGACAACATCATATCCAAGCCAACACAGCACAGCTGCAGGTTAAGAGGAAGATAAGAACAGTAGGATTCAAAACAAATGAAAACAAAAAAACCCAAAACCCAGCAGTGAGACTAGCTTTCCTATATTGAAGAGGCTCTGAAAAAAAGCTGTTGTCATCATGAAATAAGGGAGGGAACCATCCTTTTCCAACAGCAAAAGACTTACGACATAGCTGCTAATGTTTTAGCTATATTAAACTTGCCAATAAGAAAGTCATGTAAGTGTGTTTTACTATGAAGGAAAGTACTTATACATTTGTTTTCCACGAATCAATCATTTATTTGAAATGTTCCCAGTTAAAAGAGATATCTACTTCATAGAAACACGAATCAGACTAAAAAGCCAGTACAAAACCAGAACACTTATTTACAGATAATTAAAAAAAAAAAAAAGTAGCTGGTAATGCTGACAAAGCATTTTTCCACATCCCCTTCTGCTCTAAGTCTACTGAGAAACAGAAGAGGATCTGTCCTTAACATACAGCACCATAATATGCATGTTTTGTTTTTTTGTTTGTTTTTTACATAAAATTTGTTAATAGTTTGCAAGCTACAGCATATAAAAATGGGACTAAAGGCAGGACATGTGATAGGCCAGTCTTTTGATCCAATTTTGCATCAATATATCACTATATACAGAGGCCTAGAATAACTGAAGTTATGGCTCAGTAGACAATTAGACATAAGTATTTCAAAACAGGGATCTGCAGGAGAAATATCTTAGTTCAGTGATCTTAAAGGAAGCTTAGATTTGGGAAGAAACTGTTCTGTCATATCCTCTATCTTGTTCTTCTCCACTGTAGCTGCAGATTTGTTCTCTTTATCCTTTTTGTGATTCCTTTTGTGCTAGGATTTAAAGAAAATGCCCAATGTTAAGAGAATACAAAGAAATTAAAAGACTACTTGCTCATGTACAATGCAGTATATAGTGTTCTGAGAAGAAAAAAAAAAGTTGGTAGTACTATTGCATTTACTGAAGATATTTATTGTAGAAACTTGGAAGATTAGCAGCTACTTTTAAGGGATCCATGACAAGTAAGTACACACCAACCCACCCAAGCCTAATATACCAGGGGTTATTGGTAGAACAAGTGGGTCAAAAGGAAGAAAGTAAAAAAATCAGTGAAGAATAAAGACGACTAATATTTCTGTTCGGCCTATAAGAAAATACTTCACATCTAATTTCAACTTTTCCATTAAATCACGTGTTTATGTCTAGTAAAACTATGGCTTTTTTTCATGCAGGTTTATTTGCTAAGGAGTTTTCTACTGTCTGTCCAGCTTGTCAAAAATTTGCATTATTTTATCTGCTGTTAGCTGTTATCAGGATGTGCTTTTATTTTAGCTCAAGTTTCACAAAGCATATTCTACAGGATTTTAAAAAGTTGTGAGACTATACTAAATGATAGTGACTTCAGACTACAGAACTACTATGGAATGATAATCTTCCTTCACTCTTAAATACACAGCTGTTAGGAATATCTGTGGAATTTACCTGAAAAAAGGGAACACCACCATTTGCATGACAGCATATGTCCGTATCCACTAAGGATTTATCACTAGCAAGGCTTTCAGTGGATTTGTGTAACTCTTCCTCTTCCAACAGATCCTAAAACAGAGGTTTTCAGAAAAATGTATTTAATGTCTGAATTTCCTGGGTGAATGTACTAAACATGATCAGATCTGTAAAAGCCATGGCATAACCACTTTCGAAAAACAGACATGAAAGCCTCTAAATTATAAATGTCGTCTTCTTCAAGGTACTGTTTTTGTCAAAAGCTCAGCACATGTGACTCCAAGTACCCTGTAAAACAAAGGTTGCAACAGCTCTGGGGTTCTAGTCCACTCTCCACAATGGCAGGAAAAAAACTCCTAAAGATGTGAAATATTAATTGAAGTGCCTCATTTGCCATTCATACACATACCTGATCTGCATTGTCCTCCACTTCCTTTATCACACTGCTTAGCATAGCATCAAGCTTTGGTTGCTTTTGCCTTAATTGCTCCAGCAGAAGTTCCCGGGGTTCTGTTCTCACAAGTGTGACTGGATAGAAGTAGTCTCTCCTCTGAGGAGTTGTCCCTTTAATGAAGATTGTACACTAATGAAAGGCACTATTAAACACTTTCAGTATTTGCTTTCTTACAGATCCTCAATTTTATGTTAACTCAGTACAGAAATCATGCTTTGATTCAGTCATCATTCTTTGCACGCACCTTAAAAAAGGTGTAAGGCTGCTAGTTATATTATGTCCCCATCAACCTTCACTTAGGAATTCTGCAACTCAAACTTCTTTCTGTAAGACCGTTCTGTTCCCAACCTGCTTTAAATACCTGTTGGAATATCCACTTTAAGATCCTCTTGCAGGAAACCATTAACTTGAGTCAGTCCATGCTGTGCTTCCTCATTAAGTGCCAGCTTCTGCTCCAGAAGTCTCTCCTGATCAACCTTTATCTGATCAAGAAGGCTATTTAGTACCTTCTCCTCAGCAGCCTTTTGTCTACAAATATGGTCAGCAATTTCAGCTATTGCTTTATCACAGTTTTCTTCACTTTTCTGAAAACAAAACAAAACAAAACCCCCCAACAAGTTAACAGGAAAGGTAAGGTTATGGCCTCTTCTCTAAGCTGTGGTGCATGATTGTGACATGACCTGAAACGAAACAACTGAGAGACCTCAAACTGAGAAGTTTCAGTGCCAGTTTTACACTCTCATTTTGAGAACTATCTTCATATGAGAGTCAGTTTCTTAGAAAGTATGATCATTTTAGAAAGCTACTCAAAGATGATGCCATCTGGTTCAGATCCAACTCCTCATGCTTTTATGTTCAACCCTGCACAGAATTAGGATATTCAAGTGAAAGTGAAAATCCTACAAGCACTAGAAGCTTTATCAATTTGTAGGGGGAAAAAGGAAAACATTAATTTTTAGCCATTCCCATTGGAATGAAGTGTTCAGTAGGTATGACAGATACAGGGGTGTCTTGAGACTGCAAATGCTTCTTTAAGTTTTTCTTTCTGAAAGTTAGAAAAACGTTGGATTTGCCTATTTCATTACCTATGAGAATAAGACAAGTAGGGTGAAAAATGAAGTTTGTAATGGAAGTTAAAGAATTAGAGAAAGAAGTTCTCAGGTAAGATGCCAGAACTACTAGATACCTAAAAAGAATGCTTTCTCCCATGTTAATCCACCTGACCAATAAAGTTATTTGCATCCTCCAGAATACAGTCTGTATTTGATCATTGTGCAGACATCCCAAGGAACATTAGTGGTACATAAAGCTTTAGAATTAAGAGATATATACTACTTAAAAGATGTAAAAAGCTCAAATTACAAATAGAAGTTAGCTGTATAGAATTAATCAAGACACCATTTTTCTGAGGTTATTTGCACTTCAGGTTCAAATACTTCCTCTAAAATTAAACTTCTGATTTCCTCTAATTGCATCTATTTAAGTTGAGTAACAGAAGTCTGCTATGACTGAAAACCCACAATTTTGTTCTGACTATAAATGAGAATTTATTTCCCCCACAAATTCTACTGTAGAAGTTTGTCTCAAAACGTTGTATTAGATTACAAATGACTATAGGTACCTTTTGTAAATACTGAAGTTGCTGTTTCTCATCACTGAGAGACAATAGCTGCTGATTGGTGAAGTTGATTATCTGAGCAGTTGTAAATTCACCCCATTTATCAGTATCCTGAGACACATTTTTGAGATTGCTGCGAAGTTGTTGACAGTGATCAGTGGATTCTTCCAGCATCATCTTGTTTTCAGCATTTATGATACTGAGCTCTTGAGAGAAATTATCCAGAGATGCAATAAATTTGCTGTGATTGGAAATTGTACTGCTGACTATGTCTGTAGTTTTCCTGCAACAACATATTTGTAACAGATCAGAGATTTTGAAACACTCTACATTTAGAAATATTTGAGACTAGAACTAGTGAAGTAAGGCAGTTCTATCAAAGCAGTTCACTATAATGTTGTTGCTCTATTTATTAAATTTACAAATTGCAGCAATTAGAACAGTAGGTTTGTTAAATCCCCTGAAAAAAACCCAAAACACACATCACAAAAAAAACCCCCCAAACACGAACTGAAAACTAACAACTTTGGCGAGACCTTAGCTACTCAGTCTGCAATTAAATAAAGCATGCTGCAACAGATACAGTATTACACTTCAAGCTAAGACTTTATGGTATGAAGTTCTGAAATCCAGTCATACTGAAGGCCATACATCAGCATACTGCTCCCAAGACCATGGTCTCTTACCTTCCGTATGTTCAAGAGACAAGTTTGGGGATAAGCCTTGTAGAGCTACCTTTTACTCTGAGAAAAGGTGAACTATGATCTACATTCTGTGGCAGAACTCAGCTCTAACATACAGGTCTTGCCCAGAAGACTTTATAAGCATGAATAGCATCTAATTTTACAATCCTCTTCATGCATAGTTTTATCTTGCATCAGTATACACCAAAAGTAATCTGCTCCTTACAGGTGAACATTTTCTTGCACAGCAGTGATGGCAGACGTCAAGATTCCGTTTTTTGCGAGTACATTAGTTAAGTTCTTCTGAGTCTCCTGAGCAAACATGTCAAGCTGGCTTTGCAGTGACGAAATTAATTCAGTTGCGCTCTATTAAAAACAGTCATACATTTCACTGTTATTCCACACTTTTTAACATTCTTAAAGGGTACTTGAAAGACCTTATTATCAACATAGCAAACAAAAGAGTTTTGTCATTCTGAAGCTGAAGGTATAGTTTTTCTGTAGAGGAGATAGACACATTTTGCTTTTGGAGATATACGTAAAGGCATATATACTGGACATGCTCAGAGCAAGGGTAAATGTTTTTGCTACCTTCCTACATAACCTTCTTAAAGCAACCCAACGAAGGCTGAAAATAATTATGATCATCAAGTTACTATCCTAATATTTCTTCTGAAGCAAGTACAACAGTTTACTACTACAAAGAGTTTAAATCAAAGGAAGCAATCACACTTGGTGTTAGGATGACTTCTTACTCTGAGGATACCTTTGTATGTGCCAATCTTGTCATTTCCACTTGTTCTTTTAAATTCTCACAATCATTCTGAAGCTGAGCAAAACCACTGGCTGTTTCTTCCCGTAATTTTTTCAGAGTGAGAGAAAGATCTCTGAAGAAAGTATCCACTTCCTTCTTATGATCCTCCATCTTTGGAAAAAAGTTTTATCTAAAGTTAGATATTTGGCTTTAGGTAAGTAATGGATACTTTAACATAATTTATATAAAAATAAAGTCTACCCCAAGGAAATTGTCAAAGGCCCCAATAAAGTATTGTGCATAAAAGGTAAAAAATAACAGAGCAATCTGAAGTTACACACTAGAACATGGTATGGCTTTTCCAAACACAAAACCTGCATGTTAGATAGGCTAAATAGGAAGACACAGACAAGGTACTTTAAGACAAAAGCAAGCAGCAGGAGATGGTAAGCCATGGACTATTTGCTGTCTAAGTCTGAAAACCAATAAAAAGTCTCTAGAGAAGGGGAGTTGATTTCATGAATTGTAATTGACAGAAGGGGGAATTTTTTTCAGTCAGAGCAACAGGTCACCAGGAACAAAGATTTGTTTTTGACAAAATGGAAAAAACAGGAAAGAGTGAGGCAGCAGTTCTACATAAACATCATGAGATAGACTAGAACTAAAAATTGAAGCAAAGGACTACTTTATTAGTACAGTGTTGCCTGCACTTACAGTTACTGTTAACCAGATAAAATACCACATTCCCCAGGAATCAAAGTGATTATAAAATTTTGGTATGACAGCAGGAGAAATGAGGAGTGATAAGACTTGTCTAAGTTAGCTATTTTAGATTTTTAAAATACATAAGAGACTATATGAAGGATATTATCAAATATTTGTTAAATATAGCTTTAAGAATCCACATTTTACCATTCTCCTGTGGCATTTAGATGAGCAGTTGTGCCAATACAGGTAATAAGCAAATACACCACATAGAAATGGAAAAGTCTGAAATAAAGAGCTAAAAGATAGAACTCATGTGACAGAATAAAGGAGAAGAGGCCAGACCAGAAGTGGAAACACTGACACACTGCAGAAAAAAAGTTATCTGTAAATTAAACAAAACAGAAGAGCACAAGGTAAGAGACAAGTTATGTGCAGTACCTTGTCAGCTACAGCAGAGTATTTCTTCATGTTACTCTGAAACTGACAGTTTAGCCCCAAAACAAATTCCACCATTGGTGTCAAGCTATTTAATGCTTTTCCTAATCCAGATGTATGTTCCTCCTAGGAACAGGAGTAAAAAAAAGAAAAAGCAAAAGTAAAACAGGATATGACTGTTCTTTCATCTACATTTGTAAGAAGCTATCTATATCCATGTACTCTGCTATTAGAGTTTTTGATATACAGTACATTGCAGCTTGTGGTGGTGACATGGGAGAGGAAGCAGGGAGGACCAGTAGAGAGCATCAGAAAAAAATATACAATATTTACAGAACCCCTTTTGATTGAGAACAGTTTCATATATTTAAGTAACATAAGAGTATGTAAATTTACTAACAATTAATCTCAGCAGCTCAGCTTTACAGTCAAGTGACAGATTCTCATGTTGTGTTATTTTTTCAGACACGTGAGAAACTTCAGTAGACACCAATTCTTTGACAGAGGCAAAAGATGCTGATACAACTGATGCAAGAATATTTGCTGCTGAAGAACTGGTAGACAGGAGGTCACCTACAAAAGAAATCAAACATTACAAAGGTTTTTTTTAAAGCTCCATTGTATTATAAGATAGGAACTCTTTTTTATTGCTCATCACCTTACTGCCTCCTACAGCACAGGAAAGTTGTTGATCATCCCAGATACATTGTTACTGGTGCAACTATAATCATTACATTATTTAAAATAAAGCCTCTTCCACTTACAAAACCAGACCTGTTTTAGGAGATGGTCTTTGGTACTACTCTTGCAAAAATTCAGGATGACATACTGATACAGGTATTACACTTACCAATAAAATTTGTGTAAGATGCCAACATCTGCTGCTGTTTCAAACTGTTTTCACTAACCGAATCTTGTATTTTATTGAACAAAGCATTCATTTGTCCTGAAAATGTATTTTGGATGATAGCATTGTGTTGATCTACAGCCTTCTTACGGTCCAGTTTTGCATGGAGACCAGATACATCTTTTGTAGTTTCTTCAACTGTACTAAGTAACTAGAATTTTTAAAAGTTATTTTAGTCAGCCTTTAAACAAGTCAAGCACATGTTATATAACAAAAAGCAACTGAATTAAAAGAAGTTATCTCCCTTGAAAGACGGGTATTTCCCTTTACATTGTCAAATTACAATTGTTAATCCTGGTGTTATGTCATTTATAGTCTTAGAACACAGGAAAAAGCTACCTACTAGAGACCATTTGTTCTGAGGCATTAATATAGGACATCCTCAGTATTTAAGGAATTAAGATATAATTTATCACAAAATAGTAACTGAAAAAAATTTCTGACCGCTTCAGCTTTTTCTGAAAGATTTGACAGTAAATACTTTAATAGTACTCAGGCAATAGGTTTCTAGTACTAGTTTTGTGATAAATGATTTAGAATTTGAGTGTACAGTGGATTCTTTGTTTTGTAGTCAGCACAAATAATTTCTGTACCCATTTTTCTTGCACAAACACTCCACAACCCACATGCAAAAAACTAGGCATCCCCTCCCAACCTTACAGGAATCTGAACAGAAAGAAATTTTCACGTTGACTAAAGATACAAGTTTCATCACTTTGCAGTTTAAATAACTGGACACTCTCTCCCCACATCAAGTCTGTTTTGATAATTATGACCAATCTACAACCACATTAAAACCATACCCTAAAATATAGAGGTGACAGGGCAAGAGTTTCCATTTTTTCACTCAGTGAGTGTAAATCACTGCACACATCTCTGCAAAGCTATTTTTCTACCCCAGTTATATATAACTTACTACTTTGTAAGGCCATCCATAAGGTTCTAGTAAAGAAAACTACTTATTCTTGCAGAACAACTCATGACAATAGATACTCCAAAGCACTGGAACTTTCATGACAAAGTGGCCTGAAGTAAAGGTAGCTCCAGACCAACCTGCATCATTAGCAGTCAGCTGTCAATATTATCCCAGAGAAAAGTCCTGCAATCTTAAGTAGTTTCTCATCATAATATATTTTATAAGAGTGCTAATCCTAGTTTGCCATTTTAAATTCAGGTTTTGTAACACTCGCATCATCCTTGAACAGCCCACAAAACTCCTAAACATGGGAAGCTACTGTTACAGTTAGGTGCAAGAACTGTGACAACCTTGCTAGCTGTGCCATGAAGTTTTTGTTCAGTGTTTTCCAAAACTGAAACCACATATTCTTCTTCAGCCAGATGCACCTTGGTTTCTTGCAGATCTTTCTGTGTTTCTTCCAGTTCTTTCTCCTTGATTTGCAGATCTATTTTATACTGTTCAAGTTCATTTTTATTAACTGTGAATAGTTCAGTGATCTAAAGTGGAAGACAAACATCAATAGGGCAACACTGCTTTTTAAAAATTTAACAGTCCTGTTTCACATCTCTCAAATTATGCCACAATACCAGAAGGCAAGTTGTCATCTACCAATGTAGTTTTACCTATAAGGCTCAGAGGTGTTAAACCTAGACTGTAGATTTGTATAGGCTCTGTATTCACTGAAAATATCACAAGCCAACACCATTTTCACTGTAATAAATCCTTGTTTCCCCACTCAAACCACAAGACCAAACAATTGTTGGAGCACAAGAAAAAAAAAATCCCACTAAACAAACTTAAGTGGGTAGAATGAAGAAGAGAGTCAGTAAAGCTGATTACACAGAGTAGTTACCTATTCCAGCAAATTAATATCTGCATTTCTTTTAAAGAGAAAGCTCCCATTTTCTGTGTAATTTGGTAAAAGGAGCTCATCACCTTCTCCCCTCTCCCTTCATTCTTTGCTCCTAAGCAGATATCTGTCACCTGAGATGATACCATTTTACAAGAGGGTTTTTGCAGAAAACCCAGCAAAGCAAATTAAAGGTTAAGTGGTAGAGATTAAAACAGCTTTAAAAAATAAATATTGCATCCTGCAGTTTCATATATGATATTTCAAATTTCTAAATTCAAGGACTAGGAAGCTTCCTCTCTCAACTAATTAGGGAACTTTAAGGACAAAAACTCTTCAGACTTCTTTTCTCAAATGTCTTTCCTTCTTCTCCAAAGATTTAATTTTTTTGCAGATTTAAGACAGAGTTGAGAAATGCCACTTACTCTTTTCATTTCTTCCTCCATGACGCCAATTTTATCAATATACTCTGCGATTTGTTCTTCCTGAACTGTCAGCTTTCCATTGAGGGCCCTCAAGCAAGGATTAAAACAAACAAATCAAGAGCTGATTTCAAGATTATCTACTGGTTTTTATACTACATATCTAGTAATTTTGATAAATATTGTTAACTTCTGTGAGAAAAGCGGGTAATTTTCACTTAACGCAGAAAAGATTTATGACGATTTTCCATTGTAAACTTTCTGCATAAACTAGTCCTCTTACAAAGTGAACTAAACTATATCGTTTGCTCTCTTATATGAACTTCCTCAAAGAAACGCTGCATGGTATAAATCTGCATCCCCGCTATACTTGTGGTAAGTTCCACATATAAATAAATTCCTCAGTGCAAATCTACTCTTTAGGCTTCTGTGTAATAATTAATTACTAAAGAACAAGTTGACAAGTCAGTTAAATTCTCCTGGCTATCTTCAATTTTCTGGTGTGAAAATAGTTCTGAAAGCATTTCTGTATAAGGATAGGTATGGCTATTTGAGATTTGTCGTTAGTCATTTTGCAGAAATTTTGAAGACATACTCATAATTTTCAAGGGAAATATAGACTCCATTTTTTTCCCGTGCAGCAGCAAGGTCTCTCTTCAGACGCTCAATCTCTTCCGTATATTCCTGCATAAAGAAACAATCACATGTAAACATGAACATTTCTACTTTGCTTTCAAGATTTAGCTTAACAGATACTTCACAAAGATAGTGGAAGTTTTGCATAAGCACAGGAGCAAAGAACTTAATTTCAAGTAAGTTCAGTATAGCACCATTTAAATTCATACTGTTAGATATACATAGAACACTGAAACCTCCCATTTGAATTGTATTTGGATGCATATAACAGCTTATGATGGAAATCGCAGCTTTAGCAGCTGTCAGCTGCCTTACATTGGCTTTTCATTCATACTTACTGACAAGGTCACTTTAATTCAGGCACTTTCTAGGAAATGAAACTGCTAATACAGCAAGTCCAGAAATAATATCCAGTGTTGTTTAGTGCTTCTCCACTAACTTGTAAACAGGAAATCCATACACAGTTATAGCTAGTTGCAATAGCCTTCTCTATCCAACTTTAGTCTTGGCAAGTTTCAGTATCTGCTAAGTGACTAATGCTGTTCCAGTAGAGCAGCTTAATTTGAAAGCATCAGTTCAGCAATTAAAATCACCTCAGAAAAGCATTGCTACTAGTTATAATCTTCTCCACAACTCAGTAATTCCTGCATAGAAAAAACTATGTTAACAGATTCAAACCTAACCTGTAACTTAATTTGTTAAGGTATATGTCAAGCTTACCTTTATAAGAGCTTTTTTTGTTAGCTTCTGATTAATTTCAGGCTTGTTCATTATGTTCTTTGCTCTGTGAGCATATTCCAGTGTACTCAATGTTTCCTGTGAGAAACAGATGTAACACTAGGTCAAGCTGAGGAGTTAACTCTTTTGTATCATTGACAAAATAGAAATAATATATCTATTTTAGGAATAGATTTTCAGACTTAAATTTACCTCAAGATTTATAGATGCAGGAGAAACGGTGGCAATTATTGATGTTTTTGTTCGTCCTCCAAGAGAGTCTTGAAGGATTCTTGTGAGTTTAGATTCCCTGTATGGAATATGTGGTGCTCTTTCTACTAGAGCAGTAATAACTCTTCCTAGTGTCAGGAGAGACTGGTTGATATTTCCAGCTTCACGAGCTCTTTTGTCAACTGCCCCAGATCGACCAATGTTTTCACTTCCTGCAAGATCAACCTGAAAGACAAAAGGAAAGACAAGCTTCTGTTTTAAATTGCCCTGAATAACCCTTGTTCCATAGTGTTGCAGAACACAACACACAACTAGCTTATGAATTGTTCAGGAGTCATTGGGGTGACAAACAGGACAGACGTTTCTCAGAGTGACAAATATAGTTCGTATCACTTTACAAAAAGCAGTAATTTTTTCCCTCAGAAAAAAACTCCATCTTAGATTCTCAAGAGAATGAGGTCAGATTATTCTAGTTCATTACTTTAAGGATGTCATCAGTGAAATTTAGTTTGAATACTTACCAAGTTTAGCTTCCCAATTTTGACAAGTTCTTCTCCATCTACTGTTGTTTCTTTCATATGGATGGTAATTGAAAACACAGAGTGGGAACGGCTATAAAAGAATTCAGTTTCAGACAGATATCCCATTAAAGCCAAATAATCTGCTTGCTATGTGACACTGCTGCAAGTATCCATGCTCTTTTTAGGGGATACATTTGACCCATTCATTGGGACTTGCATATTTTCAATATACAAAGTTATTCTACCAAGTATGTTTTTGTAGGTATTCATATGCATGTGGTACTTAAAACCAGTGATGAAGGAACTAGATGACATTTGCCTCATTCAATCCTGATAAATTTCATCTTATTTCAAGCAAAACCAAGAGAGACACTCTGGGTTTTTTTTTACATTTGTGTGTTCTGAACTCACAAACATGTCAAGGAAACTGCCTTGTAGATTTTTTTAATCTGTACACTAGAAACAGTTTTACAGAAAGTGAGATTAAGAGATTTAGTTTTCTTTATTTGGGCTAAGAAAATCAGCAAGTAGCTGAATCCAATATTAAAAATTTATAAGTTTAATTCAGTTTTCATTCAAACAGCAGTACAGTTTAAGATTATTTTAGTTTTCTTTATTCCTTTAATAAGTTTTTACAATAGGAAGCTGAAATATATAGAAAACCAAAGATATCAAATTAGCCCAGTCTGACCATGCATAAAACAACAGCTCAGAATGAATTCTCTAAATTCCCTGTAATTTCATGTGAAATTAGTTTTGTGTTCTAATCTGTAGTAGCCAAATACCTATTTCCTTACACCAGTAGACAGATGTGCTCAGTATAACACTGGACCACTACTTGTTCAGTGACACAGATATCACATCTGCAGTTCAAGAATGAGAAATCTACAACAAATTACTAGATTCTGACTACAAGCTGTAGTCATATGAAGTAGCCTGAATTGCCATACAAAACACCCCTTCAACTTTATCAAAAATTTCCACAACCCCGTTTGCAAGTTTTCAGAAGTTGGGATTTGAAAAGAAAGTTTTGTGTTGACCTGTAAAAAAAAAATAGATCTTAAAAGTACTTTGAAATTCCAGCTTCAGTAACAAGTCCTAATATACCGTTTTCTACTACTGGCAAGGAGAGGAAAGGATACTTGAGACTCTCACACCAAGTTTTTATTTAATAAACAGGATTGGCAAAAAAACCCAACCATCCATAACAACTAGAACAAAGACAACCCAGCTCTCTAATACAGGTATATAAGATTCCAAATATGAAGGACTACAGATCTCTTTTTGAAGATGTACAATATCTACTGCAGGGAATATTTATCTAATGCTAGTACATACAACATATTTCAGTTATGTACCTGTCAAGACTTCTAGATTTTGCTTCCATAGGCATTGAAAGCTTTGAGAAAGTCAACATCCTCACTTTAAAGTTATAATTAAATTTCAATATTCTAGATGTCATATTAAGAACATCCTGCTACTTCTATCTCAGCCAGAGTTAGTTAGGTGGCATTCCACAGCTACTGTGGGATTAACAGGGGATATATTCATAACAATGCATGCAAACTCTATACAAGCGGGGGAAGCTTACGTAAAAAAAAATAAATAAATATCAAGTAGAGAGAAAAAGCTTGCCCATGTTTAAGATGAAAAGTGTTCAGATTTTATGACCCTTCATACAACCTACTAGAATATATCACCCCACAGGATGTGATAAGGAAGAAGTTCTAACTATGGCTTTCTAACCCACATTTGCAATCCTGATAGTGATACACAATCTCAAGATCATACCAGGTTTGCTCTAGCTTCAACATCTTTTACTTCTTTGGTAAGATAATAAAACAGGAACAAAGCAAAGTTTCTGAAACAGGGAAGATCTGTACCTGGAATATGCATTCATGTAAGTAGCTGCAGTTGTTCTTTTGGCAGCACCCCTTTCCAGGATTTGGTAGACTTCATTTTTGTTGTGTACAGTTATTTCTTCCAAGCCTTTAATAATTACACCCCTCTGTCAGAAAATAACGTATGCTTATTATACATTTCTCAATCCTGAAAGCCTTATGATAACAAATTTTGGAAGACACCACTAACCTTGTTTCGAGGGTCATCAAACATCTGCAATCTTTCACCAACATCAGGAGTAGGATTCAGAAGATCAAAAAGCTCCTCATTATAGATTTCCAAAAGAGACACCTTCACTGAAAATTCAGTACCATTCTCTGTGAGTTTTTCAAATATCTGATGCAACGTACGGGGTATGATACCTGCTAGTGGATCCTATAAAGTGAAGCATTTAATATATAAATACAGTGAAAGAGATTTGGAGGTGGGGGGTGGAATTTCAGCTAAATAGTCTGATTTGATCTAAGCAAGAATACCTTGGACAAAGATCATCTCCCATATAAAGATCACCAAGGTTTGTATGCATGCATTAAAGATGTAAAGTTTTGATTTACATATAAATGAATGAGACCATTTGTTAATTTATAAACATTTAAAGAAAGGCAGCTTTAGAATCTGAAAGGCATCAACTTTAGATTTTCTTTAGCTTTCTGCAATTTCTAACTTTGGCCTATAGTACAGACAAGAAATCTCAAGAGTGAAAATATACCTCTTCCCAAGTATATTCCTCATTTGGTGACCGCTCCCCTTCCATTGTGAAGGTCTTACCAGTACCAGTTTGGCCATAACTGTGAGAATGAAAAATTAACATGTAACAAACTAATATTCAAATAAAATTTCCTAATAATAATTATTGGCTGGCTTACGCAAACACTGTACAGTTGTAGCCCATAATGACTTCATCCAAAATGGGACACACAACACTCCGGTATACATCAATCTGCTTTGCTTGAGCTCCAAAAACCTGTTGAGGCAAAGACAACACATCCCATTTATAAATAACATATAGCCTTACACAGTAATAAGACCATGTTAGAGAAATGGACCAGCTTGTTTCTAGAAGCCCCCAACTTGACAAGCAGTTACCATATCAAACGTGTAAGTCTTTCTTGACGTCTTATCTGTCACTCCTCCAGTGCGGACACTAACTTCCTTTCTTGCTTGATCACAGTCTACAACAGCATAGGAGTTTCCTTTACGTTCTGAGGCATTAAAAGGCCTAAAAAGACAGGAGTTAAAAATACTGGATTGATATCATTGCTAATAAACATAAACTGACAAAGCAGACATATATCTCAGTTAAAGGATCCAGAATAGTATAGTTGGTAAAAGGAACAAAGCTTTTAACTTGTTTAATAATTGCTTAAACTGCCACAGTTTGGCAGTTACCAGATCTTGTTTCTCCTTCCACCCACTGTGGAACAACTCAAGTATTCACAGCTTTTAGTTTGCTTACATATATATTTTTTAACAAATCCATAAACACCTTTAAGATCATTTAGACACACACAGAGCTAAACTGCATTAGAAAATGTTGTTCAGTTGCAGTGGGGTTAGAGATTAAACATACCAAACAGTTGCATAAGAGCCTTCAAGAAAAGAAAAACTTATACATGAAAGTTAAGGTGATAGTTAATCAAACAAATTTCCTAATCAAAAAAATTTCCTTTTTTATTTTTCATTTACATAAGCAATGAAGTCTATATCTTCCACTGATGAACAATGCCCTAAAACACCAGAAATACTAATAGACCCTACTAATAGAACAGTAGACAGGCATACCAGAGCCTTTATAATGTTGATGCATTTGAATCAAATGTGCGAATTGTGAATAGAATTTCATAAAACATCAGATTTTGGTGGAAAAAAGTCCAAATACCTTTTTACTCTGAGTTTTAAGTAAAGTTTAATACAGGTGTAATAAAAGTTTAGAAACTTGATGGCAAGCATTTTGTTTCACCACTATGTTAAAGCTGGTGCACTCAATTTTCCTTGAAGGGGAGCTTGCAACAACTTATCCCAAAAAGCATGGAAATGACCATGTGCTGTAAACTAAAATGATGAACTCCTATTTTATTACTAATTTAGTAGTGGTATTGCACTGAATATCTATGCTATCTGAACAGTCAACACGAAAATAGAACTTCTACAATCTTAGCCATCTTTAAAATATTTTGATAAGAGGCACTTCAGATGCTCTATCTTTAAATTACAATTAAAAAAAAAAACAAAACAACCAAAAAACTCAAACACACAGCATCTCTAGTTTCCTGACGTGGCTAACATTTCTTCCTCCACACAGCACTGAGGCTGAAGTGTTAGATTCTAAACAGACCACTAGGCACTCTGGTGCAAGGCTGACTGGTGACAACAGATGATCACCAAAATCTTGTTCACAGGAACAAATTACAGCTTTGGTTTTGTGACTTTAAAATAGCAGGAGGCTGAACAAGGAATATATCCTGGTCTATAATGATATAACAGTGAACCAGACAAATGCAGGAGCCTTATGGTATGATAGCCCACAGCTGTGAGATCAGAGGAACAATTCAGCTAGGTTGGGGCATACATGCAGATCATCACCATGTGCCACTAGACAAGCAGCAACCTAGTATGCCATGGTGACTTTTGATCACAGGTTTATCCCCTTAGGTATGAAGGTTATTAACAATGCTAATGCATGCATTTTGAGTGTCCAAATTCATGTTTTACCAATGCATAGTGAATATATTGCTTGAAAAAGTTTCTAAAAACCTCAGACACACCAGGTTTCAGAAGCAAATTAAGACCACTGCATGTATCTCCCCATCTGTAAGACAAGTAGAACTGGACTGATGCAGAAGAAAAAGGGAAGGTGAAAGGAATATTTACTAGCTCAAAAACTATTAAGTTCTATTTAAAAAGCTGTACAAGGGGCAAGAGCAAGGGTGAGCTAGAATGTTTTTAGGGTTTAGAACTTGGTCTTATGAGTTGCAAAAAAGCAAAACACTACACCATGGTTAACCATGATGCTACTGTCATATTGAGCATTTTATTTAATTAAAATATACACTGATACTTAGTGAGGCTATTCCAGAACAATTGGAACTAAGTAGATGAAAAAGACTGACGGTGTTTCAAACTCAGTTGTTTCAATAAAGTCATTCTTCTTTTGTAATAGCCTTGATTTACATCAACACCTTCACCAATCTTGTTTGTTTCAGCATCTTTTTAGTTGTGTTGCAAAAAATAAGATAATTACTTTTAATTTATATCTTCATTGTGCACCTGTAAAAGTAAAACTTCCAAGTGTGAGGTATAATGAATGCAAAAGGCTTCATATTTATATCTGAAGGCACTAATAATAATATGTAAGCTAACATTTCAGTTCTGGCTCAAAAAACACCTTCCAGAGGTATTTTGGACACTATTCTTAACCCATTAGCCGTATTACAGTTTTAACAACCAACACTTAAAGAACATTTAACATCTGGTATCAAGGAGCAAGTCTTTAAAGTCACCTCAAAATTATAAAGACTAATTTTATGGTACATGATGTTTGTCAAATTATACCAAAAAAAATTTATCAACCAAGGTAGTTGGTCATTATTACTTAAGAAGTTGACCCCCATAGCTTTTCGTCTGAATTCTGAGAGACTGCATCGCTGAATTTATATGAAAAACATACAAAACTAGGTGTAGCAAAAATTTCATTAGCTGTCAAATCGTAGTGGCTTCCCACAGAAGCTCATAAAAGATAAAAATGCAGTTTGTTTTTTTGTGTCTTGAATATCAGCCATACTCTCATTTAGCTCTTAACTTTCCTACATAGCTTTATACTGGGTGCGCACTCAAGTCTGGAAATTGCGACTCTTTACCTTTTTAAACTGAAAAAGATTATTCACAGCGGCGCTATTTTGCGGAAGCGCCGATTATCTCTGCTGGCTACAGGAATCCGCCGCACAGCGCGTACGAATACATCGGAGAGGCATTTTAAAGAGCAGTAACGACCGCCGTCGGCGGGTAACGCCGGGCTCTTTAACAGCACTATACTGGGGAAGGCATCACGCAGCTCCCTTTCGCCGAGGCCGCTCTGCAGAGCCGCGGGCTGCACGGCGCCCCGCCAGCCCCCCGTCGCATGACAGCGGCCTCGGCCCGCCGGCGACAGCAGGCGCCCCCACAGACACCGTAGCGAACACTTCAGACCGAAGTCCCTGGGGGACCTACGAGGAGGGGCCCCACCGGCCCTGCCGGGGCCCTGCCGCAGGCCGATCTCCAACGCTCGCCCAGGGCGGGGCGGGGGAACCACCGCACCTACCTGCACCGTACCTGTCTCTTATACACATAGATGTGTATAAGAGACCAGCTATATACTAGCGATTCAAATAAAACTAGACCAATGAATGTACCCTCTGGAAGAATATGTGAGCTAATCATACCTAATACTCATCTACTTAACACTTTCAGCAGAACAGACACGAAGGAGAAAAGACACAATGAAAAAAAAAAATAATCAGTAAATATCACTAATTTGAATTCAGTT